CAATTTTCTGGCATTCCCACAGCTCAGGAAACCACAAGTGGGTCGGGCTCATTATCCTCCAAGCACAAAAGGCGATCATTCAGAGCAACACAGGCCAGGTGGATAGGACTTAATAGCTCAGCGACATCCACTAATTATGTTTAAACATACCGACGACCAGGCCAGATGGTGAGATTGGACAGCACTGAAGTCTTCAATCTGGGATTATGTTATATGTTGCATATGTTAGATAATATATCCTAAATGTTACAACTGTAAAATGTAGGGCACGGGGGCATGTGGATAAGAGAAATACATTCCTTAAAGATAGAGGCTAAAAAAAGCACAAATTAAATTATTTTTCAAATATTTATCTTCTAATTCCAAACCACCATCTTCAGCAATACAATCACAAGCGACATAATCATAACACTGAAAGATGAGTATTTGTATTACATTAGGTTGTATGGACCATGCTGATCTCATACCTGTATGTATAGTGGAAACAGGCTATTTGGATGCTCTGCTGCGAAATCTGATCTTGCCATTATTCTGAAGGTTTTGCTTCTCTAAAGGAATGCACAAATAATATAAACAGCAAAGTATACCTTAAACAGCAGGCTCTAGTTAAACAGCTGTGTCTGTTATACTCAGTGAAAATGAAAGCTTTATCAAAATGCCACCCTGGTTGTACTACAGCAAAGCATTGTATCACATTACAAGCTGTCTGAAGCAGAGCCTGAGGATGTTTGACTCAAGTAAACTAAAGTGAAGAGCAGCAATCCTCTTCACACTTATTGAGTTCCTCAGCACTACATGCAGCAGAAGACAGTGGAATACCTACATAAATAATAAGCAGACTTATATATAGCTTGGTTTGTGACACAAATATTTTTATACAATTACAATAGAACTAGGCAATAAAAGGACCACTTAAACACAGGTCAGGTTCTTACGTGTTTAGATACGTTTATTGTGTTCCTTTGTAGTGACTATGTTAAACTGCTCCTCTTGAATAGGTTCAATAGAGTAACCAAGTCCATATGTGGGTTTGAAGGAATGGGATATACTGACAGGTACAGTGGACATAAAAAGTCTACACACTCTTATTGAAATAGCAGGTTTTTGTGATGTAAAGCCAGAAATCAAGATAAATCATGTCAGACATTTTTTCATCTTTAATTTGACCCTGCAACCAACAAAATTCAAGAGAAAAACAGATTGATAATTATTAGGAAAAATAATTGAAATTAAAAAACCTAAAACACCCTGGATGCATAAATCTGCACATCCTTTTATAATGGGGAATGTAGCTGTGTTCAGAGTTAACCAATCAATTTCAAAATCATGTCCAAAGGTAAGTAGCATACACCTGCCATCAATGAAAGTGATTCTGATTAACTCCAAATAAAAATCAGCTGTTCCTGTAGGATTTCCTTGAAACTTTCGTGGTTGCATCCTATTGGGATAGCCATGGTCCGCAAGGAGCTAACAAAACATCTACTGGATCTTATTGTTGAAACGTACTGTAAGGAGAGGACTATAAAAGAATATCAAAGGCATTGGTTGTACCATGGAGCACTGTGAAGACTATCATCAATAAGTGGAGAAAATGTGGCACCACAGGGACATTGCCAAGATCATGAAGACCAAAGTTGATGACAGGATAAGGAGAAAACTTTTCAGGGAGGCTACCAAGAGGCCTACAGCAACATTAAAGAAGCTGCAGGAATTTCTGGCAGGTACTGATCCACAATTTCCCGTATTCTGCACATGTCAGGGCTATGGGGTAGGGTGGCAAGACAGAACACATTTCTCACAAAAAAGAACATCTAAGCCCGTCTAAATTAAAAATACATTCAATCACCCCAAACCATGTGGGAAAATGTCTTATGGTCTGATGAGACAAAGGTTGAACTTTTTGGCCTTCATTCTAAAAGATATGTTTGGCGCAAAGACAACACAGCTCATCATCCAAAGAACACCATACCTACTGTGAAGCATGGTAGTGGGAGCATCATGCTTTGGGGCTGCTTCTCTTCAGCAGGGACAGGGGCTTTAGTCAAGATAGATTGGATAATGACTAGCTCCAAATATCAAGATATTTTGTCAGAAAACCTGCTGGCCTCTGTCAGAAAGCTGAAGATAAAGAGGAATTTCACCTTCCAACATGAAAACAACCCAAAGCATACATCCAAGTCAACCAAGGAATGGCTTCGGAAAAGGAAGACCAAAGTCTTGGAATGGCCCAGTCAGAGCCCAGACCTCAATCCCATAGAAAACCTGTGGAATAACCTAAAGAGGGCTGTGCACAGGAGATCCCCTGGCAATTTGAAGGAGCTTGAATTTTTGTGCAAGGAAGAGTGGGATAAAATTTGAAAGTATTGTAAGAGGGCCCATGTGATCTGAACCTCTTCCTCAGACACATCTCTGTGGGCTCAGGATGCACACCTCAAATAAATGTTACCCCACCTCAGCCATGCCTTTTCTCAAATACAGCTATGAGGCTATGAGGCTTCTTTCTTAATGAATAGTAAGGTATCAGGCCCAAAGAACATTTTGTGAAAAGAAAAAAAGTTATGTGTATGAAATGTTTATTCAATGTTTTTTTTTTTTAAATAATGAAATAGGAACTGAATTTAACTTCATGCAATTTAGTCTTTCATGGTACATCAATTCAAAGACACTTCTTACAATCAGCACTACTGTAAGCTGGTGTTTCCTCTTGTCCTACACTATTGTCCTACACTATTATATAAATGCTTCACCCTTGCATTGTTTAACAGCAGTAGAATGGGATGGATATGGAATCAGTAAAGAATGGATGTCAGATTAAATATATTCCCATCCCACTAGTAACTAAATCAAAATCAGGAAAACAAGGGCCCAAATAAATCAATTAAGAAGAATATTAGGAGAAGGAAAGCACTTTACAAAATGTTAAAAAAAATAAAAAGACCAACTTAAAGAAAAGGGATTAAATGAACTGCACAAACAGGGTAAAAGAGTTAGAAAAGTGAAGAAAGCAAAAATAATGTTGCAATGGAAGCAAATGAACTCTTATTATTATTGTTATTATTATTTACTATACTTTTTAATTTAATCAACAAAGTACAGTAAAGTCTAAAGTAAAGAGTCACAAACCAAAATGGGAAACTTTTCAATAATGACAGTAAAAAGGCTGATGTATTAAACAACTATTATGTTTACCAACATTTTCCTTCTGTTCCCTTTTCTGAGTAAAGACAAAGGTTCATATTAAAATATATTAAAATAGAAGAGGCAGAAGCATTACAGGTACAAAAAGCGCTTAAAACAAACAGATTTCAAGGTTCTGATGGTGTCTTACCAATTGCACTCAAGGGAACAAGAGATGCTATTTAGAAGCAATTGACATAAATCTCCCAACTGTCTTTCAAGACAAGGGAAGTACCCACGAACTAAAAAATTGTAGCGTTCATCCATAAGAAGGATGATAATTAATTATAAGTAATTATAGACCATAAAGTGTGACTTATATTTAATGAAAAAAACAACAATCATAACTGATGTAGAGGATCATCTGAAAAGGAGTAGTATTCTAAGGGATCAAAAATGTGAATTTAGAAAAGGCAGACCTTGTTTATCTAACTTTTTAGAGTTCTTCTGACAAGCAACTGCAGTAATACTATGAGTGTACAACATAGCTTTAATTAAAGGTCCTCATAAAATATTAATTCTCAAATTGCATGCAGTAGACATACAAGGTAATACATTTACAATTTCCTGCAAGGTAATGCAGAATTGGTAATGGATAGGAAACACAGGGTAGAGTTAGGGGATAAATACTTAAACTCGGGTATCCCTTCCTTATTTATATTCTATTTATATGTCTAGATTCTAGAATAGCTAATAAACTAGTAAAGTTTATTACAAAACTTTAAGGAAGAGAACCCAGATATATTTATATATTCAAAGGAATTTTCTCTTCTGACAAAACATTCTTTTTAGAGCTAAAACTTTTTACTCTTGAAACAGAAAAGTACAAGGCAACCTGATTTGAGTATTTAAAATCCTCAAAAACAAAAACAAGGTCAAACCAATTTACTTCAGAAGCAAGATTGAAACACAAACCAGTGGTCTCAAGGTAATTTATGGTAAAGTGCAGAGAACAGAGAACTTCTAAGAACAGGAGACACATCTTTACAAAAAGGCTCTTGTGGGAATATTGAACAAACTGTTTAGTAATGCTGCTGAAGTCTCTCAAGACACAGAATAATAATAATAATAATAATAATAATAATAATAATAATAATTGCTTACACTTTTATAGCGCTTTTCTGGACACTCCACTCAAAGCGCTTTACAGGTAATGGGGACTCCCCTCCACCACCACCAATGTGCAGCTCCACCTGGATAATGCGACGGCAGCCATAGAGCACCAGAACGCTCACCACACATCAGTTATCAGTGGGGAGGAGAGCAAAGTAATGAAGCCAATTCGTACATGGGGATTATTAGGAGGCCATGATTGGTAAGGGCCAATGGGAAATGTGGCCAGGACATTTACACCCGGGGTTACACCCATACTCTTTTCAAGAAACGCCCTGGGATTTTTAATTACCACAGAGAGTCAGGACCTCGGTTTTACGTCTCATCCGAAGGACGGCGCCTGTTTACAGTACAGTGTCCCTGTCACTATACTGGGGCATTAGGACCCACATGGACCCCAGGGTGAGCGCCCCCCTGCGGCCCCACTAACACCTCTTCCAGCAGCAACCTTAGTTGAATGAGATCCTTAGATAAATTAGCTACTAACAAACAAACTAAACAGACGTCCAAATGACATCTTGTTTGTAACAGTTCTGTTCTTTTTTTCTAAATGTACCTAGAGGCCTTTGACATTAGGCTTAAACACAATAAATTCATTCTCTCCTAGTATAATCAAGGCAATACCCTTTGTATGGGAAAATGTATGCATACTTAATACTTCAAGGTTTTTAAACAGCTGACGACAGGCTGATACTGGGATCCACACTTACCTTCCAGAATGACCTCCTTGCCTGTCTTCTTCAGAGCCTGGACGGCTTCATCGTGTGTGGCCTCTCTCAAGTCATAGCCATTCACAGAGAGGATGGCATCCCCCACGTACAGCGCCTCCGTCTGGTCAGCGGCCAGACCCTTGAAAATCTTAGAGATCAGGATGGGCATTTTGTTCTCCTTCCCTCCTGAAAAAGACAAGAATCCAGCACCAGGTCACCCATGTGAGGCTTCTGGAATTATGCAGCAACTTTATTGCTTTTTCACTAGATGTAAATATAAAAGCATTGAGGAAAGACATTTCTTTTACAGTCATTTAATAGATATAAGCAGTTTTTCTTAAACTATTTTTTTTTCATAATGCCTTTTTTTTACATTTTAGATTTTATCTTTTTCCCCCTTTTTAATCATGGGAAACCTAGTCAAATTTACTCTGATGAGTAACCATGAAATTGTTTGCTTATTCATTTATTGATCCTTTTAATTCCAGACATTTTTCATGTTCACAAGCCTTTGCACACCATTTAGTACTGGCACTTAGTACATCTGAGTAGTGGCACATCTCAACTGGCCACATGGTATGAAAAATGGTATTTGTGTAATTGTGGGGGGAGTCAATTTACAGGGTTTGGTGTAGTTGTGCTGATTCCAGTAGGAGTGGTGTGAAATGAATAGGTATGGGATGATGTCTGTTATGTAATATTATATTTATTTTTAATGTAACATTTATTTGTACTGTTTGTATGTTTTGTGGGTTTCTGGGTAAGTAGAACACAGCAGCTTTGATGCAAAACAAATTTCTGAAAAATCAGACAATAAAGATTTAATGTACATTTTCCTGAGATAGATACATGTAATGAATTTCAAGCCACTGCTCACATAGTGATAAGAAAAATTGGTCATGAAGACCAAGAACTCAAAAGTCGAAATAAGTCAGGGATAAATAGTTAGAGAGGATCAGATCAGGAGACAGTTACTTATCCCTGAAAATGTCAGCAGAACGGAGACCTGAAGCACAAAGTCAAAGCTAGAATGGAGTGCTCTACCGAGACAAAAGTAAATGTATTTGAGTGACCCAGTCACCCTGAATGATGTGAATCCAATAGAAAAGATATGGTGAGGATTGACAATTGCAGTCCATAAACTATCCCCAATGAACTTGTTAAGCCTGGAGAAATTTTGCTAGTGAAAATGGATGAAATTACACCACCATAATGTGAAAGCTGTTGGGTACCTATCAAGAAATACTGAAAGCAGTAATTGCAGCCAAAGTATAGAATACTTATGTAGTCAGTAAATTCCACTTTGTATATATTTGCATATTCTGTTCAGATCTAACCACTGTCAAATTTTACAGTGTCCAACCTGATCATTATAGTTTAAAAATGTAGTGTTCCTCCTTATGGTAGAATGATGCTAACAAGCACTAGTGCAAAAAAAAACAATGAGCCAATCTTTCCCTGTACAGAAACTGGGGACAAATTGTCCAACTAATTAATTTACTAGGGAGAGAGGAGTTTTCCATCTGTGTTCTTGCAAAATAATCAAATATGAGACTCATACCTAACAATGCTGACAGCATTCTAACACCTGCTTTCTGGGGCATTTGAGAGTTTATAATTTAGATCCATCAAGATGGGCTAATAGACCAAATCTCTCTGGCAATCTGCAGGATGGCACTGAAGTGAGAGGGAAAACTTTGACTTCACATGCAGCTAAACACCTTCTTCTGTGAAAGATATTACTCTTTGTAATTATCATCAGGAGGAACCCAGAAAAGTTGGGCTGAGAAGCTACTTTATTGCTTTTGTATCTGGAACTTGAATAAAATAGCCAGTATCTGGGATGTATTTTACATGATGAAACAGGGCTTAAAAAAATGAATTGAACTATTTCAGGATCAATAATGACACAAAAAGAAAGGTAATGAAAAGGAATTTCTTTTAAAACTGAGAATAGGGTGAATCTCTTTGCACAAAAGGTGGTGGATGTCTAAAACAAGCTGAAACATGTCGAGAACCTTGCAATAATTAGCTACTAGTAACTAAGAGGGAAAACGCCAATTTTTTTTGCTCTTTCCTGTATCCGTTCATTTAAAGGTGTATTTTCTTTTTTTTCCTCCAGGGACTTTTTAAGTACCAAAGTGTAATATTTGCACAGGTATCCAGTTCAACACTGTTTTCACATTCTGTTGTTTTTTTAAAGCTTGCAGTCATAACACAGTGTACAAAATAGGTAGAGATCTACCCAAAAATTTAGTTTATTTTGCCCTTAGAAGTCTACAGCTTGTGCATTCAGGATTGAATAAGTTTAAAAAACTGCATAGGCATCATTTAATAATTTCAGAAAATGGGACACCATAGGAAAGCTTTGAACAATTTTGCAAGACTCTGTCTAATTTCCTGTAGATTAAATGAGGCAGCATGAACTTCATTGCATTACACCATAAAAATATTAGCATTAGAATTTTTCTTATCTGGCAAATCTAGTACACATTTAATTCACGGCGAGTTGCTTTTCTTTTACATTTTCCAGTTCCATCTTAAAACAAATCTCAGAATGCAATGTGTACCTGCTCTTTCAAACAAGCACATCCTACTGATCTTTCTGTCACAAAAATAATCTCACCATTTTAGATTTGGTTTTAAGAACAAGAGGTGCTTCCATTACTATCACAGCTCTGTAGTCGTGCAACCTCTGTCTTCCTCTCTCTTTCAGCCCAGGCCTGATGCTTGGTACAACGCAGCTGGCACCAAAGCAAGATGCCATATTCTATGCCAGAGAGCACTCACTAAAATAAACACAACCAGCCCAATCTGCTCCTATTAGCTGCTTTCATCTCTGGCCAGTGCAGCCTGTGCTATAGAAGGCACATGTCAACAGCCACACAGGGCCAGCCAGACGGTTCACACCATCACGTCAGCTGGCTGAGTTCTATCTGCGGTCACTCGAGACCTCACAGATGCGTCTCTCATTCTGCACATCCCTGGCTTTTCACCAGTCCCTACAGGTGAAACAGTCTTGACCAAAGTGCACCATTGTGAATGTGTGTGGTAATTTCACAGTTCTAACTGTTTTACCATGTTCCTATTGCAGATTCACTTTCCTTTGGAACTCCCTTGCACCATAGACTTTTTATTCTTGTATAAGGGAACAGCTGTTTCCCAGACTAAAGTGGTACAGAACCTGGCATATAATAAGAAAAATAATTCCAAATGAGGATCCTTCTGTCATCAGCGAAAGAGCTAGATGTATAAAAACTGGAAAGCTGCCCATACCAATATTTTTTCATGATATAATGTCATTATCTACATTAAGGTCCGCTTTTTTTCTTTCTGAAAAGTGCTCAGTCAACACTTGTCAAATCTTGGGACAGGGTATAATAGGCAAGCTTCCCAATTTTTCCAACTTGATGAAAAAGTGTTTTTCTGTTCAAAAGAACTTTTTGTTTCTCAGCTAAAGTCACTTTGAAGGAAAAACACAATTACGATTACATATACAGTATTTTTACAATTCATATTAATGAATAATATTAATTCATATAAATGTACTGTTAAGAAATTATTGTTTTTCTTGTTTTTAAGAAGAAATGCTATGTTCAGAAAAAATAATCTAATCCCTCCACCAAGTGCTTTCAAATTTTTATAGTTTTTGTTTATTTAATCTAAAACAATATTCCCTTACAGCCATTAGACTGGTACCAGACTGGATTGGAAATGTTTTTTTTTAATTAAGGTAATAAACTTATAAAATAAAATAAAAAACATTTCCAATCCAGTCTCCAATAAATAGGTTTCCAATAAAGCAATAGCTTTATTGCACTAATTAGTGTTTGTAGTTTAGATCATTTATTGTTGAAACTCTCAGATCATCTGATGCCATTTACCAAGCAATCCATGAGGGAAATTTGTCTCTTTTCACAGAGGCGTAGTTGAATACGGTAACATACTGTAGTTTGAAGAAGATTTCCATCACCTGCCGTAGGCGGACGTACATTTCCGGCCAAGGTGTGAGATGAACGCAAGATTGTTATGCTATCATCAGGATATGTGGGAGCTACTGTACCAGTATGACTGAACTGGAGTCTGTGCAACAAGTCAGTGGACATGCAAACTGACCTGCAAAGGTCCAAACATTCTTCCTAGAACCATCAGAATCACCTGCCTTCAGATAAACAGAACCTTTGACGATCTATTTCACATAACTGCATTTTCTTGATGATTGCAGGAAAGAAAACGCTTGTTAGTATGTTAAATGCAGTGCATGATTTATGCTTTCCAACTGTACCCATTTGGATAGATGCAAAGTTTCTTAATGAAAGTCATGAGGTGAGTCAAAGGTTAACATACTTGATCTAAACACACACTGCTTCCCATTCTTTAGACAATAATGAGACAAAGCTCTTGGCTTAGGAGTGTGAAGTGCTGCACTAACACTACTGCAGGTCTTAGCAGATGTGGACAGCTGGGACATACTCATACTGGTTTTGGGTGGAGTATATGAATCATACTAATTTTACATAATTGTATCAGTTTTCCATTGCGCTTGTATCCACAGCCTCTGGATTGTTCTGAGCATGAAACAAGTTGGAATTGTTCCTATATCCAACAGCTTTCACAGTCTCGCTGTATTTCTGCTGAGAGCTCAACACTCCCTCCTTGATCACCTACTCTTCTTATCAGTCCCAATCAGCCCCTAGTCACTGTTTGAATAGATGAGTATCCCTTATCCACTGTATCTTATTTATAACTCTACTATTAATAAGCATATCATATTTGTTCAATCAACAACAAGCAAACTTAGCCTACTGCAGGGCAAAAAACAGAACTGTTCACAATGCAGAATGGTTAATTAAAAATGAATTGGGAAAGTAAACTTAATTGATTTTCTACTCAAGGTAACAAAGTAGTCTATATATAATTCAGAGATATCTAATCATCTGGTTAACAACTATTACGATTCTCTATAATTCTATGATACTGTTTTTCAATGGCCTTATACCTTATTTACTTTACCGCACTACAGTGCCCAGAGATGTGCCACACTGTGCAGCAGACATGGTAGGCCATTAAAAGCAGGAATAGGAATTAATCTCGCTGTAAGATCATTGCTTTCATTGTCCTGTGCTTCTTCTTTGCTAGATAGCCTCATTCTGTTGATTAAACCTCAAAGCAAATCAGTCACCTGAGCAAACTATTATATTTTAACTTCAAGGGGAAAAGAAAGCAGTGCTCCAGAAATGAGATCTTGCAGTAATCTTGCATATTCAGAAAAGTAAAATAAGACTACAGGGAATAACTGCAAACTGAATGTATTTTTAAAATGAAGAATACGAGCCTTGCTTGCATGGCTTTGACTTGTACTGGGATGCTGTGCTGTCCTTCAAAGAAGACCTTATCATTAAGGATCCATAGGCACTATTGAAAGATTAAGGAAGCTAATCCCACAGTCCTGGCTAAATTCTTCTTTGAGCTGTGCAATCTAAAACTTTCCACAATGGATTAATTAGGTCCGCACTTTTACGTGAAGAACTTTGGAATCTTCATTAATGAAAATTATTATTATTACAAGTACCACTACTAGTAGTAGTAGTAGTAGTAGTAGTACTACTACTTTAAGGGGTGGCATGATGGGCAGGGATTACCACCTCTGGGTGCCTGGGTTTAATTCCTGGCATGCTATCTGTGTGGAGTTTGTATGTCCTGAAACAGGATTCCTACAGCAGTCAAAAGAGTACTGATAGATTAACTGTCTCCTAGAAGGTTTGACCATGGAATGAGTGTGTGTTTGTATCTGTGTTTGTGTCTGTGGTGTCCTGTGCTAGACTAGCATCCCATCCAGGGTGTATCCTGCCTTGTGCCTGTTGCTTGTTGGGGTAGGCTCCAGCTCCCCCTGTCTCTATATTGGAAAAAAGATTAGAAAATAGATGGATTATTACTTCATCACCTCTTTGCTTTTTTTAAATGTCAAGGATTTGTACTGAACTTTGTTGCAAAAGAACTTGCAATTTTATTTATCTGTGTTTATTCGTCCACAAATTATAAGAGTTTTGAAGTTGGTACTGAATTTTGTACCAGAAAAGTTAAAGAGATTATACAACCAAAGTGTCTGTTTAGCTTCCTAAATTCTTCTGCAAACTGTTTAAGGATTTGCCGGTCTGTCCTCTCATCACTGATCTGACTTGACTTGTCTTACTATATAACTAAAACTATTTGTGAAACAAATGATGATGGACCAGACAGTAAAACCCCGTATCAGTGAAAACAAAGTTAATAAGAAGGGAAAAGTAATCAAACAAGTACCTGAAATCTTTAAAAGTACTGTTTCCAAACTAATTTCCCCCCTCCACATGCAAACAACAACTACTGAAAACAAAATTCACACTATCCTAAGATCCAGTGATTCTACTTAGCTTTCTATTCTGAAAGGTTACAGCCTGTGTAGATTTCTTTCAACAGCTTGTCACATTTTTTCAGTCCCGCCAAGAATTCACTTCACATTCTCTAAACAAAAATAACTTTTAATAGTTGTGTGATGTGTTTTAGGAGATCATTACATTAAAGATACTATAGGTTTGTGGGAGTAACAAGCTACCAGCCACATTGTCTAAGATGATACCTTGGCGTCTTCCAAGAATTATATGGGTGATTTCCTCCACTCAGGGCAAGAGTCGCTTCTTTTCATAAAGAGTTGTGGGAGTATGGAACAAGCTTGCCAGCCATGTTGTGGAAGCCAATACACTTGTTTCTTCTCAGGAAATAGGTGGATGAAATTCACAGATCAAGTAGCTAATAACTACCAAATGGGTAATTGTAAAGGCTGAAATGTTTTTATGCTCTTATATTTAATTTAAAACTGTATTGTGGCACTTCTACTTTTAGTTTTATGTTTGAAATCAAGCTGTTTATTTCTTCCCACATAGTTAAAAGGACACATAGCTGAGTTTATTTTTAACTCTGTACCTTTTTGATTCAGACACAATAAGAAGTGACCAATCATTATCAAATAATAGAACTGTGATACTGTGGCAAATCTTTCTTAAAATATTTACAACCTAATTATAAATTATAATGTTTGCTGTCAGTAGAAGGCTACTCGATGCTATCTTACGCATAGAGTGGTCAGCCCTGTCCTGCCACAATGCCGTCTTTACTGGTCTTAAACTCACTGTTCAGTACTCCATTCACCAATTTTTAAACTTAATTTTTGACCACTTAATCTGGAGAATGGCTCGATTTGCAGTTTTGAGATCATTTGAATATTAAATCCTAACATTCTGTTCCACGCGAGGAAAACATGAGTTAAGAGAAACAATTGTTTTAATGAATTTGTCATAACCGATACGTTACAATTCTCGCTTAAATCATCACTTAGTAAAATAATTATCAGACTGTTTCTCTTCAGGATCTTCCCTGAACTGTATACAATATTTAAGCAGTAAAACTATAGCAATGTTAATCACAAGTTAAGGCACAAAGTAATCCGCTGTACTGTACAATTCACACGCCGTTTTAGAACTAATGTTGCCTGTTTTCCTAAACTGGGATATTCTCCTGAACAACTTCAGCAATGGAAACTGCTGTCACAGAACACTTGTTTCACGTGTTCAACAGCCCAACAAATGCAATGCCAGTCATCTTACAAAATGCAGTTATGAAGGGCAAACATTTTGACCGAGGTTTTCTTCTTCGTTCTGTATATTTGTCGGAAAAACAACACTCACTTGAGCCCAAGGAATTTCACCTGATAACAGTCGATAATGTGATATCACACATACGTCCAGTTGTCTTATTCGGGAGATTAATGATAATCATAATTTAGTTTGTACATGTAACTACATGTACACAACGAAGGCTGTCAAGAGCTGTCGACTTGAAAACAAACTTCAATGAAAGAAGTTTAACTTCAAGTAAACTTTTATGTCTTAAGTTACAAAGCAATGAAAGTGTGAGCAAATTCTGTTTTTTTACCTTTAATGCTGATTCCCAGACCCCCAACATCCTGCTTGGTGACTCGCACCGTGCGTTTGACGTTGGTGATCGACTCGGGGACTGGAGAGCTCGACCCGACGCTGGTTGAATCTCCGTTCACTGCTCCCAGGGGATTTGGGCTCAGGCTGGGGTTCACAGGCTCAACGGTAGCTTCTCCCGGACTCACCGTCAGGCTTTCCTCCGTGAGACAGGCGAGCACACGGATCCAGCGATCCACGGAGGTTCGGAGCTCCAACAGTCCAGTTTTCTGCGCCTTCATCCCGGCAGCCATGTTCAACACATTCCTGGAATAACTCCACTCTGTACGGGGTTGGCAGTCCTGTACAGAGATGGGGGTGGGGGGTGATGATCGGAGATGCCAAGAGAGAGGAACACCACGGACCCTCCCCTCTCCGTCTCTTGCAATCGCGGCGCTTAGCTCTTTTTCTGCTTTACGCATTAGAAGTTGCTTTGATAATAGTGACAATCCAGTGAAGTAGGCGCTTTTCGAAAAAGTTCAGAGATGTTTAATGGCCGAATAAAACTGATTACTGTTTTTTTCTCTGAAGATGGCTTCTCGAAGTGAGATTCCAAGGATTGTAGTGCTATTATTATTATTATTATTATTATTATTATTATTATTATTATTATTATTATTATTATTATTATTATTATTATCAGTAGCAGTAGTAGTAGTAGCAGTAGCAGTATTAACAGACCTAACAAAAGAAGAGAAAAGGCAGCAAAATGCCCTACGTATGCACTGTTCCCACTCCAATGGAAAATAATTGCAGAACATTATATGAACTTATTTTTCATGAATTGTACTACATACTGTAAGCATATTAATTTACAATATAAAAATATCTGTGAAACAACTTTCATAATGGACACATTTATCGTCTGTGTCTGTGATCTTTTTCACTGTCACGTGGATGTGTTGCTCTGGAGAGAGAAAATTGTGCTCAAGGCCAGTCAGATCATTTACCAAAGTCGCTCATTCCCATTTTACAAAGCACTCTGAAATTTAGCAGTAATTAATTTACCACTTGTTCAGTACTTAAGCTCGAAATGAGAGTTTTACACTTGTGCTACTGACTGAAAACGAATCATCTCAGCTGCTGCATGTAAAGGTACATAAATATAATACTGTGCTCATGAAGGCCATATCTAAAAACCAGGGGTGGCTCCAGAAATATATTTTTTAGCATGAGAGGAGTGGAGCCATTATGAATATTTATGTTATAAAGTGTTTGTAGTTGTTATCTCTGCAGCTACTAATTTAGCAGTGTCTATATACTGAGCTTGTTAGTGTTTCATTAGAAGGGATTTTAATTAACATCGATTTTGACATTTACATTATCTTTACTGCCATAAATATCTTTAGGTGGGATGGCTTAAGTTCCCCTCCACAAATAGGTCAGACATCAGTCCATTGGGCAGAGTTTTTCCAGTTGTGTGGTGGCTTCAAGTTACTTAAGGTCAACTAGCAAAATGTGAAACAGGTGGTAAAGGCTTGCTGTCATCCATACAGGTAACATTGTCTTGGCATTCTTCTGTCAAAAGGCAGCTAGGTTTGGGCAACAGAAAGTCGCTGAATCGCTGTGTGGCCTGCAGAACCTTGCAAACCGACGTTAGCCATTTCATGCAGTGCTGTGAGCGTCAGCAGAAACACAAAGCAAATCATGATAAAGAGTTACCTGACCCTGTGGCCAATGTGCCTCTACCTGCAGGAGGTTGACCCCTTGACCTACAAGCACTTCTGGAGCTATCGCAGTGCCCTGTAACTGGGGGTGTCAGCTTGGGCGGTCTGAAAGGCCATGCAAAATGCCAGGCAAGCCAAGGAGCTGCAGATTCCTGAGGACTGAACACTCGGGGGAGAACGTCCTGTGTGGGGAAGACAGGAGTGAAGGACAGACCATAGCAGGAGTCAGTAGTGCAAAACCTAAAGGAGCATTGAAGTGCATCTGGCACTAGACAGCAGGTGAAATAGCAGGAACGCCTGGACCATATATGGAATACTTAGTCGCTAGGATTTCCTTTCTCTCTTTATAGGATGAGCCTGACAGGTTGTATATCATCTTTCAACAGGAGGCGCACTGTCTGCTGAAAATGAAGTGGACAGTCTCTTTTGGAAACAGAGTACATTTACATACAGTAGAATAGCTAAGGGGTAGCCAGCTTTGGTCATGGCAAGCCAATCCAGAAGGTTTTGTCAGTCATCATTACCAAGCATTACCAACTGGCACCACAATGAACCTGAATTAAATTGTTGTTTGGACTGAGCACTTAATCTTTACTGAAGAGAAACGGCTGCTTAATTACCACAGGGGACAAAAACAATACAATATGAACATAAATAAGTATCCAGTACTCCAGTAAGTATCCTTTTTTTTAAAAGCTGTAAGTTTCTTGTTTAAAGTGGAATCCTAATTTGCACTGGCTACTGAAACGTTCATCCGTAAAAGGAACAGTACACATCTGATTACTTATGTATTCAACATACTGTGCAAATGAAAACAAAAGTATAAAGACAGTGTAAATGGCATCTTGTTAGTAACAGTGTCTGCAAATATGATTTAAATAAAATCTTTAAAATATTCTGGTTGTTTTTTTATTATTTTTATTGCATGTAAAATTATTTTATTGTCAGGCCAAGGGCAGCAATCAAGCAGCAATATCAATTTACTAAGGGTTTACTTCTCAATTCAGATGTTAATTTATTTCAGTTTCAGAGAACTCTTGAAATCCCGCTCACATGTAAAGTGACTGGGGACAATGGGTTCAACTGACAACTCGGCCCTTATGAACTTTCTCATACACTTGTAAGAACATGAAACATTTTATTTTACCACATAAGTAGGTCATTTGTGAAAACATCAACACCCTGTATCTCTAAACGATCACCTCTGGACATTCCTGACTGAAGTGAACAGATGAACATACCAATACAATCAAACTAATCAAAACTAAATTAATAAAAGAACTGCTGTTGTAATACACTCTATTTCGATACCAAAGAGAATCCATAAAGATTTTGTGAATAATGTCTAATAAAGTGCAATTACTTCTTGCAACATGTCAGTTCATGTTACATACAATTTATCAAACAGTACATCCCAGCAATTCAAAGTTAGACAGCCTGGAGGGGTGGTGTATCTGCTGGTTTTCGTTACAATTCAGCTCTTAACTACCTCGATCAATTCATTGCTGAATTAATCAATTTAACAGCTTCTCCCAGCTCTAGTTTGAGTGCAGCTTTGAGGAGACCTAGAAAACCATCCAGGACCAGGACCAGGACTGTCCGCCTCGGCGAATGTTTCACGTTGAAGGAGTAAATTATAAGGAGGGTTGAATGCATTTTGCGATAGCTCTTTGAATATCTATTTCCCCCTCGTGGAAGTATTTCAGTATCGCAATGTAATCACACTTTTAAAAAATGCCGTCACAACAGACAGTGCTTCATGATCACCGTTTCTATCGTTGTTATTGTTATTGGTTATAGAACAAGGAACAACATGCTTTTATTTTATTACTTTTACATTTACGAAGAGTCCTGCCTGCGATATATATTTTCGTTTTATATTTGATATATGTAATGAAAATTTATTTTGGTTTCAGCGTCAACAAAACAGCTTTCGCAATACTGTGTGATCAGGTGGTAACAACTCTTGATGGGACATGTTTTAACAATGGGTGTGAAGAATTATGAATCACACTGATGTGTCTGAATCAGTTCAGTGAGATGCTGTTATTGTTAAATTAAATTTTTGATTCGGTGACAAATATATTGGGTTGTTCTTGTCTTGTTGGAATTAAAATGTTTTAAATACACTTTGGAGTCTTCAGGTGTCGTCGCTTATCAAAATAAGAAACTTGTTTTTCTGTTTCTTGCTGTTTTCAGCCTTTCATGGAAACTTCATTATTCGGTCATACCAAACAAAGAATAGAGTAGTAGAATTGTTTGTCAATTCTGGATTGGTTTAGTATTCGTGGTTTAGTTAGGAATTTTCTGTTTTTAACATTTTTCTGGGTTCATCACCATGGCACCCGTTTAATTCATTTGGTCTTGTTTTACCCGAGAAACTGAAGTTTGGCACTGCTACGAACTGTTTTCCTGTTATAATTACAAAAAACCCTATATAATTTCATAATTTTTCCCTCATTAACTAAAAACATAAATTAATTTACGTGGATTTTAAATTGAAGAAAAGCACGACCATAGTGGTCTCACCTGTTCAGTTACAGGGCAGTTCGTTTGTTTGACAGAACCAATAGACTGGTTCTCCATAAAAAAATCAGGAGGTGTCGCTATTGTTACGCTGATTTACAATTCAGTCCTATACAAAGATATGAAATACATTTTCAAAGAAAATGAAAAAGAAAGTTATGATCAGCAACAAACAGAAGACACCGACTAAACCTAATAGCTAATTGAGCACATTTTTCATAATACGACAAAAGAGTTATTATTAAGTTGTTCTTAAGAAGTTAGACTGATAACCTCTGCAAACAGTATTTAATTTATGTTTTATACAACTTGTAAATAATTCCTTTTTTGTAAACGAATAAACTGGAAATAAAATCTTTACCTCCATTGAAAACACGTGTATAAATCAGTTACAACAGTAATTATACTAATAAATTACTTGTAGGTGGACAGATTAGCATCACTAATAATATAACATTTTAGGTGTATCTCTCATTCTGACTTTTCTTTTAACTGGAATTATTTGTTCTTTGGTATGTTTCACATTGTATTCTCTCAGAGTTGTCTTCTGAAACACAATAATTTACTAACTAGAAAAATAAATTAGTAACCATTGGAGCTATCATTTCCTGCTGTTTAAATTAAATCTAAATTTCAGAGCCTTTGTCTATCTCTGTTTTGCCATTCAAGATCATTGCATTGCAAATATGGCAGGTGGCTTAAAAAAACTGAAATGTTTTCCATCTGGATAAAGCATAATAGTATGAAAAGATTTAGGAATTAATTAGAGAGGAAAAAAGAAGGGGATTTTGATTACTTCCCTTGCGAGATACATCCATATCCACACACATATATATGCTCCCTGAAGACAGTGGACAGTTGGGATGGTCTGGTGATTAATTTGAAACTCCCCCAGAGCTTCAGAGAGCCCTCTGAGCTGCCATATGGGCCCTGTGTCTGAGAGGCAGCCTTCTCCAGAACAGCCTGCCTGGGCTCAGCCTGGCTCAGACTGGGCAACATGTGGCCTAGGCATGACTGTTGGCCATCCCCACCTGTTTCCTGGTCAGATGGAAAGTGGTCTATTCTCTGTGCCTAAGTCTCTGGGGTCAAGGCAGTTGGAGGGATGGTTCAGGGGGGGGTGTCTGAGTAAGCAGCACAGGCTGGCTCCTGCTCTTTACCTTTGACCCTGACATGCATCCAATCACCCCTCCCTTTCTAATGCC